GTATTTTTACAGTCTTTATTTTACAGTTAAAATATGTGTTTATTAAATAAAGTCTAATTTTACAGCTAATCACGGATCCCTTTAATAAGTGAAACAGCTGCAGAGTAAGAAACTCTTATATTGTGAAAGTTGACTTGTTTAAATATTTTGAAACATGTCTGCTGGTGCGGACAGAACATATCCTCATAGAATGAAAAAAAATCACAAAAAGGGAGATGTGATGTCATGACGTTTGTGTCTTCACATCGTCCATAGCTGGTGATGATGTGAAGCAGATTGTCTAGTTTAGGGATGTTGAGCTAATGCTGTGTTTGCTGCAATATTCAGTTGTCATGACTCACTGGGCAGTTTCACAAGACACCCTAGGCCAGGACTTCAACTCCTTCTGTCTGCCTCTGTGACTTCTGACTGTGCTGAGGCAGTGAGAGAGGTTGAAACCAGCCTGCCTCTGATGCATCTCTGTTTTGCAAACTGAGGTATAGCAACAATTAAAAAAAGTAAGCTGGTGCCACAGCTCAATGATATGATGAAGTGATGACATATGGTCTGTGTGACCAGCCGTTCATGGGAATAAACAACAAAAKATTTATTACAGAGAGAATATTGATAGTGATGCACAATAACTTTGCAATTAGTAAACAAACAATTAGTTAACCACAAAGAGAATTGCTAACTGAGTTAATTCATCATATTTTGAACACAACAAGAGGCAGACGTCTGTCACACATTTAATGYGTTGTGTTTCACATCATCCCAGCTGAGTTCTGCTCCACCCTCTGTTGGTTCTGYGACGCTTGCTCCATTTCTCAAAACTCCCGTGTGTGTGGGACATGGCTTGGTTTGCTCTATCTCTGATTTATGAACAGCCAGAGGGGCACAAAGATGGACCATTCATTGGAACTGTTTATGATAGAGCTTAACAATATGACACTCAGTAATTTTCATGTGATCAGTAAACAACTGATTTCAGTTTTCACACACATTTGGCATCTATAATTGTAAATGTAGGTGGGCAAGTACTCATGCATGGCATGTAGTTAAGTTCAGATTAGATAATACACAATTATCCACCTATGAAAAT